AGACACCGAGGAAATCCAAACAATCATTAGGTCGTACTACAAAAGCCTATATGCCACAAATTTGAAAATCTAAAAGAAATGGACAATTTTCTTGACAGATTCCATCTACCAAATTAAGTCAGGATCAGGTAGAAAGATTAAATAGTCTTATATCTCCCAAGGAAATAGAAGCAGTAATCAACAGTCTCCCTTCCAAAAAAAAGCCCTGGGCCAGATGGATTCAGTGCAGAATTCTACCAGACCTTCAAAGAAGTGCTAACTCCAATTCTCTCCAAGCTATTCCACAAAATAGAAACACAGAAGGAACATTACCAAACTCATTCTATGAAGCCAGTCACCTTGATATCTAAACCACACAAAGACCCAACAAAAAAAGAGAACTTCAGACCTATCTCTCTTATGAACAGTGATGCAAAAATACTCAATAAAATACTTGCAAACCGAATCCAAGAACACATCAAAGACATCATCCGTCATGACCAAGTAGGCTTCATCCCAAGCATGCAAGGGTGGTTCAACATACGGAAATCCATCAATGTAATCCACCACATAAACAAACTGAAGGAGAAAAACCACATGATCATCTCCTTAGATGCCAAAAAAGCATTTGACAATGTCCAACACCCATTCATGTTTAAAGTCTTGGAGAGACTGGGATATAAGGCACATACCTAAACATAGTAAAGGCAACATACAGCAAGCCTATAGCCAACATCAAACTCAATGGAGAGAAACTTAAATCAATCCCACTGAAATCAGGTACAAGACAACGCTGCCCACTCTCTCTTTATCTCTTCAACATAGTACTTGAAGTCCTAGCTAGAGCAATAAGACAACTAAAGGAGATCGAGGGGATACAAATCGGAAAGGAAGAGGTCAAAGTGTCATCATTTGCAGATATGATAGTATACATGAGCGACCCCAAAATTTCAACCAGAGAACTCCTTCAGCTGATAAACACCTTCAGCAAAGTGGCGGGATACAAAATCAACTCAAAAAAATCAGAAGCCCTCCTGTATACCAAAGACAAAAGAAAGAAATCAGGAAAACAACACCCTTCACAATAGCCACTAATAACATAAAGTACCTTGGGGTGACTCTAAACAAGCAAGTGAAAGACCTGTTTGAGAAAAACTTCAAGTTTCTGAAGAAAGAAATTAAAGAAGATATCAGAGGATGAAAAGATCTCCCGTGCTCATGGATTGGTAGGATTAACATTGTGAAAATGGCCATCCTGCCAAAAGCAATCTACAGATTCAATTAAATTCCCATCAAATTACCAACTCAATTCTTTACAGACCTTGAAAGAAAGATTCTCAGCTTCATATGGAGAAACAAAAAATCCAGAATCTCCAAAACGATCCTGTACAACAACAGATCATTTGGAGGTATCTCCATCCCCGATCTCAAGGTGTAATACAGAGCAATAGTAATAAAAATTGCATGGTATTGGCATAGAAACAGAAAGGAGGATCAATGGAACCGAATAGAAGACCCAAAAATAAACCCACACACTTATGAATACTTGATTTTTGACAGAGAAGCCAAAACCATTCAATGGAAAAAAGACAGCATCTTCAATAAATGGTGCTGGTCCAACTGGATATCTACATGCAGAAGAATGAAAATAGATCCATATTTATCACCCTGCACAAAACTAAAGTCCAAGTGGATCAAGGACCTCAACATAAAACCAGATACTCTAAATCAGCTGGAAAAAAAAGTGGGAAACAGCCTAGAACTCATTGGCACAGGAGACAACTTCCTGAACAGAACACCAACAGCACAGGCTCTAAGAGCAACAATCAATAAATGGGATTTCATGAAACTGAAAAGCTTCTGTAAAGCAAAGAACACTGTCATCAGAACAAAACGATAGCCTCCAGACTGGGAAAGGATCTTCACCAACTCTATATCTGACAGAGGGCTGATATCCAGAATATATAAAGAATTAAAGAAGTCAAAAAGCAATAAATCAAGTAATCCAATTAAAAAAATGGGGTATGGAGCTAAACAGAGAATTCTCTGTAGAGGAATACAGAATAGCAGAGAAACACTTAAAGAGATGCTCAACATCCTTAGCCATCAGGGAGATGCAAATCAAAATGACCCTGAGATTTCACCTTATACACATCAAAATGGCTAAAATCAAAAACTCAAGAGATAACACATGCTGGAGAGGTTGTGGAGAAAGAGGAACCCTCTTTCATTGCTGGTGGGAATGTAAACTGGTACAACCACTTTGGAAATCAATGTGGAGCTTTCTCAGACAATTAGGAATAGTACTTCCTCAAGATCCAGCCATACCACTCCTAGGCATATACCCAAAATTTGCTCAAGTACACAACAAGGACATTTGCTCAGCCATGTTTGTTGCCACTTTATTTGTAATAGTCAGAACCTGGAAACAACCCAGATGTCCATCAACGGAGGAATGGATACAGAAATTGTGGTATTTTTACACAATGGAATACTACTCAGCAATCAAAAATGAGGAAATCATGAAATTTGCAGCCAAATGGTGGGATCTATAAAAGATCATTCTGAGTGAGGTATCCCAGAAGGAGAAAGACACACATGATATATACTCACTCATATAGACCTATAAGATATGATAAACATAATGAAATCTATACACCTAAAGAAGATAAACAAGAAAGAAGACCCGGGGTTAGATGATCAATCCTCACTTAGAAAGACAAATGGGATGGGCATTGGACGTAGGAGAAAACAAGTAACAGGACAGGAGCCTACCGCAGAGGGCCTCTGAAAGACTCTATCTAGCAGTGTATCAAGCAGATACTAAGATTCATAACCAAACCTTTGGCAGAGTGCAGGGAATTATATGAAATAAGGGGGAGTTAGTATGACGTGGAGAGGACAGGAGCTCCAGAAAGACCAAATACATCTGGGCACAGGGGTCTTTTATGATACTGTTTCTCCAACCAAGGACCATGTATGGATATAACCTAGACCCTCTGCTTGGATGTAGCCCGTTGTAGGTCAGTAACCAATTGGTTTCCCATATCTCAGGGACTGTTTTTGACAGGAACTCAATGGCAGGCTCTTTAACCGCCCCACCCCCCAAGGGAGGAGCAGTCCTGCTAGGCCACAGAGGAGGACTTTGCAGCCAGTCCTGAAGATACCTGATAAAACAGGGTCAGATGAAAGGGGAGGAGGTCCTCCCCATTCAGTGGACTTGAAAAGGGGCAGGGAGGAGATGAGGGAGAGAGGGTGGTGTTGGGAAGGAATGAGGTAGAGGGATACAGCTGGGATACAGAGTTAATAAAATGTAACTAATAATAAAAATTGAACAAAATTAAAAAAAAAAAAAAAAGGAAAAGGTGAATAACGCTTGAGATACAACTTGGGAGGCCCAGGAGACAGATATCTGAGTATGGATATCTGAATTTAAGGATATGAGCTGAAGTTGTCAAAACCTGGGGCCTTTGTGAGGAGGACTGGGGCTGACAACGGCTCACCTCCCTGTTCCCCAGGACTGAGTGGGCAGAAGGAAATGAGCATGTAAAAGCCAACATGGAGAGCGAGCCAGAATGCTTGGAGGGAAAGCAAAGTATTGTGATATAGGGAACAACTGTCTGGGGCTCAAAGGAGGAAGAGGGATTGGGAAGAGGTAAGAGAGCAGTAAGGGAAATCCAAAAGCCCCACAGCAGCTACTGGTGACCCAGGTGAGGGCAGTTTGACTGAAATGAGGGTGGGAGGGAAGATGGACCAATTTCACAGGGGAGTGACAACTGAGAAGGAAGTAGGGGTGGCACTGAAAGCTCTTCTTAGGGCTCTCTGTGTAAAGGAGGAGGGAGGCTGCCTGTGAGAAGCTGAAGGTAAAACGGTTGTTGGTATTGAAGAGGAAGGAGAAGAAAACACCATGTACAGGCAGGAAGTGTGGAATTTAGAGCACAGATACGGGGGGGGGGCAATGGCAGGCACAGGCTTATACAGCTCTGAGAGGAATGATGAGGGAGCTCAACTCTGCTCATGTCTACAGGAGCTTGAACTCAAAAGAGTAGAGGCTCTCCTGGGAAGGCACACCAAAACAGGAAGAGCATAGAACAACAGCAAACTAGTAGCAAATACTGTAGAAATAGAGGAACCGAAGAGAGAGACAGAAGAGTTAATGAGCAGTACCAACCCACAGGCCTGTGGACTTTCTCACCACAGGAATTGGCAGCCTGGAAGCAGATGTGAAAAGAGAAAAAAAAAGAGGCGGGTCTTTTGCGTGTGTGTGTGTGTGTGTGTGTGTGTGTGTGTGTATGTGTGTGTGTGTGTGTTTACTTGCAGGCATACATGTGTGCAGTCAGAAGACAATCTCCAGTGTCATCCATTAGGCTCCTTTTTCCTTTTATTTAGCCTGGAACTTCACCAAGCAGACCCAACTATTTGACCAGCAAGGTCCAGGTGTTGGCTTGTCTTTGCCTTCCCAGACCTGGCATTACAGGTGTGTAAACGCAACTGTGCTTGCGTTTCTCCCCGGATTCTGGGGATCTGAGCTCAGGTGATCACACACTCTAGGCGAGCACTGTACCACTGAAGCCACTCCCCAGCTCCAGCAGTTGTTTTTCATCAGGACTGAAGTTTCTAGACAACGACGAAGAATGTCAAGATCGGGCCTGGCAAACTTCCACTAAAGGCTCAGATGGCAAATATTTCAGGCCTGACAGTCCCGGTGACAAGTCCTCAGCGTGGCTGCTGGGATGGAGGAGCAGCCCCAGACTAGGCGCACACGAATACAGCTGTGTCCCGTACCTAATCAGAACCAGGTTGCCTCGGAAAGCGGCGGCGGCGGCTGGATTCCACCTGCTGTGGTTTACCAAGCCCAGACTTAGGAAAAGGAAGTGGACATACACAAAGGGTCTGGGTGTTAGAGCAATGAATTGCTTAGACTTCTGAAGAGTGAAAAGAACTGGAGGCTTCCAAATGAAATTGTGGGGCACGGTTAAACCAAAACACATGCGGGGACTAACACGGCCTACCACACAAACCTTTGAGCCTATTTCACAAACATCAAGGGGGTCGTCGTCTCCACCGAGGTCTGTGCTCTTATCCTTCAGATGGGGGTCTTCCCAGGTCTAAAGAATAGAACAGAACGAAACAGAAATGAGGCGGAAGCACAGGTCAACACTCACTGCAGTGCACCCTAATCTTCCCACGTGATCGTGAAATTCCTCCGGCTCTGGGCTGACACGCCAGTGCACCCCCAAAGCATCGCGATAATTAAAACAGATTTGCCGCTTGGGCTGAAAATGCGGCTGGTTATTTCCAGAAGATTCACCTTCTAAACCCAGTCAGTGGCTGAACCCACGTTCACAAATCTCAGACTTTCAGTTGGAGCGATCCCACGGCCGGGAATGTCTCACCGGTGGCTCCTGCCACTCGCTGCTCCACCTGACAGGTGGGGTCCTACAGAGCTGACGTCTGAAATGAACTTCCTATTGGTTAAACGCCTCCTGCTGCTAGGAATGGGCCCCCTCTCCAAACAAATGAGGAGGCATTATTTACTGTAGCAAAGAAAAACCTACCGTTGTCTCATTTCCTTCCCTTAATAGCTTCTCTACTTTGTCACGGAATTTCAAGATCTGACAAAATGATGCAAATAAGTCAACCTCTTCCAGTCTACTGGGAAGATGATGACCCGTTGGCTACAAAACATATGTTACAGTTTTGGAGATGAATAATGTAATGGGAATTTGCTCTCAAATTAAAGTCTCTCCTAGGCATTATCTCTTCCCAGAAGCTTCATAACAGCTTGACTCTGAATCAAACTACAGAAATTGACTAAAATGATTTGCCTTAAACTGACATTAGAAGGGATGAGAAGCTGTCATCTCAAGACTCAGCCACTGCTATTATCCCGGCATTTACATTACCCAAATTTACTTTCTCTATTTTAGGTAGGTAAAAATGTGCACTTACTTACAGGCAATGCCAGTATTTTCCTTCCAGTCTAAATTATAATAACCCACTGATCCATACTTAAAACAAAACAACAAAGAAATCAGGTTCAGCAAGTATTGTACTAATACTATTAATACAAGAATAACAACCAATGTAATTGTTAACCCTTTGACAGATTCTGACAAACACACACACCTTGTGAGGAATACATTATTATCCACCACATTATACCAACAACTGAAATGGTTTACTGTGGTCTCAGTGGCAGAGACAGGATTAGACTCCAGTGTGAATCAGAACTTACAATGCTCAAATTTCAGTAACAACAGCAAATTCTGCCTCCCACTTCCCTCTTTGCTGTGCCTTCCCTTACTCTCAGAATGTCTCTGTGCACTTCCCTCATAGTCTTCCGGCCACTGCTGCCTCTTTCCTATCTCCCCTACCAGACAACTGCATCCAAGGCTGGATGTTGAGTACCCACTCTGGACCAGGGGCAGTGGTGAATAAGGCAGACTCAGTAACCAAGAGGGTGCCCCGCTGATGAACAGTGTAACGTTTGTCTCAACATGCACGGGAACCAACTTGGGGCCAATCCAGAAGCAACGATCTAGATCATAAAGCCAGAAATATCTACGTGTTTTCCCTTTCCTAAGGTGGAGTCCCACTTCTATGGAGATGAACCAGAAGTCACGCTAGCCCTATAGATAGAAGAAGGTAAAACAGCAGTCCTGCCTCAGCCACCACTTTTACTAAACATCTAGTCCTCAGTTTCTTCAACTGTATAGACAATGACACAAGTAAGATAACGTTGTGGATACATCCCGGCCCTCATCCTGGCTGTTAGTGTTCATTCACAGTCTCCATGCATACTACAGCTCACAGATTCATAACATAACTTAGCCTATATAGAGCAACATCAACTTTAGGAAATTCTTTCCTTACATTGTTGTTCTGGTTGTGAGCCAAGCCATCTCTACAGCCCTCGTCCCTTATACTAAGACAAAACTGTCCTCTGATAACATGTATGCAATATGGCTTTGGAGATTTTTTCCTTTTTTTTTAAAAGACATGTTTTATGTGTGCAAATGTTTGCTCGTATGTGTATATTGTGTACCACATGTGTGCCTGGTGCCTGTGCAGGCCAAGAGGGAGCTGGGTCCCCTGGAACTGCAATTAGGTGACTGTGAACCATCATACGGACACTGGGAAGTGAACCCAGGTCTTCTGCAAGAGCAACAGTGCTCCTAACCACTGGGCCATCTCTCCAGTCCATTGGTGAATTTTTCTGTTTGTTGTTTGCCTGACTGAATTCACTCTCCTTACTCCACTCTCAATATTATCTATCAATTTAGTTCCTAATGTTGAGGATTAAAAATACAATGAAACATTCTTAAGCCATTCAATACTATTAATTTCAGGAACATTTCTTCATGATTTTCTGTACCAGCAAAAACAAAAAAACAAACAAACAAATCCAAAACACAGATTGGTTCCTTTCCCACCTGTGCCTTTAATATTTTACATTTAAAGGTTTACTTATATTACAAAACGGTATACACTAAGTAACCCTGAAAACAGTGTAATTTCAACAGGTGAGGAAACTTTGAAATATATAAACTTTGAGGATGCCCTCTACTGGAAGCATAGGTGCATAACAGGGCAGAGGAAACAACAAAACAAAACAACAAACAAACAAAACTCAGACCAGTGAAGTATCAAAATGGGAACACTCAAACTCATCAGCTAAGTTAGAAAAAAGATAAACAGACCAAAATGGGCTAAAAACATAAGTAATCTGAGGGGGGAAAAAAGAAATATGAATGGTTTATGACTGTAACAAAAGTCATTGATCTGAGAAGCACAACTTAAAACTGCAATTCAATACTATTTCAAAGAATTGAGATCTGTTTACCCAAAATAATAGGATACAGGTCACCTGGAGCCTTATGTAATTCTTGTAAGACTAAACTGTGATAATATGCATAAATTTTGAATATTCAGTAAAACAGAGTAAGTAGATAATTCACAATTTGATTCATAAATATCTATCTAGTAGATAATCTAAAAATAAAAAAGTCTTAGTATGAAACCAAAACAATTTAAAAGAAAGCCATAAACAGCCTACTAAAATATGACTATAAATCTGTTAACATGAAATCAGAATACATATTGACTTGGCCTAAAACAAACCCTAGCTCTGTACAGGAACTGGAGATCATTACTTTCCAGTCAATAGTAACCAATGTGCTTGTAATCACCATGCTCTGGCCCTCAGGCCTCTTTGAAAATCACTGAAGAAGAAAAGAAACAGCCATACACACACACACGCTGGTGTGGATGGTTTCTTGCTGATCATTTAGGGTGCTTACCACCGAACTTGAGGGAATGAGAGTACTCATCCCCATTTACCGCACCCCCCCGCCCAGTTCAAACTACAGAGTCTGTCAATTGTATCATCAGCTAGCCTCTGTGGCAACAGCCGCATTGCTGAGCTAATATGACTGAGAACTAACTACAAGGCTTAGCCCTGCCCACAACACCTCCTATTACGATAGCCTTTCTGGGTAGGAGTCATCACCACACAGATGAATAAACAGCCTAAAGAGATTTGGTCTCCTGTCTCAGGCTCTGAATCCAATAAATAACACTACCCAGTATTTGTGGTCTACAACTCAAATTTATGATGAAGTTTAACATAATAAACTCGTCAACACCATAGGCTTAACTGAAGTCTTAACTTTAAAGGGAGACTAAGCCATGAAAAATAAACAAAGCAAAACAAACAGAAAACTCAGACAAGTGAAGTATCTTTAATATTATCCAGACAATGTTGTAAAAATGAGCTCAGATAAAGGGAATACTGGAATAACCTTGTTAAATGTGGGTAAACTTGAGTTAAAAGTCAGTGCTCTGGGAGGAGAAAGTAAAAGAAAGTCAGAGTCAGAGGGAAGCACTGTGTTCGAGAAGGCAGGCAGTTGAGTGTCTGAGATAATGATGTCACTGCTGAGTCACAAGCTTGTCAGCAAGATTTTTACCTAGTGGTCTGCTGCTTAAATGTCCTTCCAAACAGCTGACGTGGTAACTGTTCTCAACATATTTCCTGCTCGGCCCAGACAAAATATAGGTGACCAGATAGACCTAATATTCATATGTGTCTATGAAGCAAACAATGACCTCAAAGAAGTCATTAACTTATTTATCCCAACGTGTTCACTGCTGGGCACAGTGTTACATTCCATAGCACTTGGCAAGACTGAGGAAGGTGTATGCAGCCATCCTGGACTGCACAGAGTTTGAGGTCAGCCTCATCAAACAAACACGAAATAAATGATCACCAATTCCGTGTGCCAGGAAGCAAATTGGTCCAATTGAAATATAAATGCCAGCATAACAGAATCCCTGTGTTAATGGAGTCTGTGTTCTAACTTCAAGAAACAGACAGCAAACAAAATAAATTATGGTCAGTTATAATTTGGTGGAAAGAGCAGAAGTAACACATGGGAACAGTAATAAAAGTTCAATAGGCAAGGTGAAAAGATTTACAGGAAACTTGAGAGACATCATGATGACTTGGACTACAGTAAACATTCCAGTCAGTGGGCTGCGTGCAAATGAAAAGGGGTATTCCAAAAGGAGGGCAGCGGGTATGAAAACTGAAAAGGAGTCAGCTGGAGGGTGGGCAGTAAAATGAGGAAGAGAGAGGAGAAAGGGGGAAGGTGCAGAGGAGAGACAACATCACAAAGGGACCAGTAGTTGGCTTCCATTCTAATAGCTGTCTGATCAATAATCAGGCAGAAAAAAGATATTATGCAGAATTATACCTTGCCATAGCAGTCTCTGGAATTTCAGCCCCCCCCCCAAAAAAAAAGAAGCGTTCCATTGAGTTATTTTTATGTTGGAAGTAACTAACATATACAATTGTTAGTGAAACTGTGTATGGGTTGAAGTTATATATGGGTGTGTACACACATGTGTGCGTGTGTGCACACAAACACACACACACTGAAATCAGTTTGAGTTTAAGGGATAGTGAGGCTCTCTGGTTGAAAATGGAAGCGAGGACAGGTGTGCTTTGCTTCTCTCCTTCATGCCTAGCCTTCTCTTAGCCAACTCACTCTTCTTGTTACTTGGATACACTCACTTTACACCAACTCAGGCCTTTCTGTGTGCTGTTTCCCACGGCTATCCTCCACCTCTGAAGGCCCACCCTACTTCTTCCTTTTTTTGTGTTAGGTCTTTATTCAGACAATGACAGTTCATGGGATCTTCTCACTGCCTAAATGGAAACACTCCTTGCACTCCCCATAACCCAATTCCCTGCTTTACTTTCCTCTCACATTCTTTCTTCAAAATTAATTTTACTTATTTTATGTGTGTAAGTATTTTGCCTACACATATGTATGTGTACCTCATGGGTGTGGCTGGTTCCCCAGAAGGTCAGAGGAGGGGACTGGATCCCCTGGGCCCTGGAGTTAGAGGCGGTTGTGAGCCACTGTGAGGGTCCAGGGAGTGGAGCCTGAGTCCTCTGGAAGAGCAGCCGGTGCAGTGCTCTTAACCGCTGAGCCATCACTACAGCCCTTTCTTTCACATTTTCAACCATCTGACATTTCACTGTTTGTTTACTGTCTGACTCTCTGTGTGGAATAAAAGTTCCCAATGGATTTTACCACTTCTATCCCTGCTTTTCATCCAGTACCCAGAACAAGAACATTCCTTGGCAAATATGAAGCACCAATGAGTGTGCGCTGAATGAAGAGGCCCTGTGCAGGCCCCGACCTTAGAACACTGGGAGTCTTACACAGTGTAGGGTAAGAGGTCAGGTTAAGAATTTTGGGTTTTATTTTCTTACCAATAGGAAACCACTGAAAGGTTCTTGTATAGGAAACCCTATAACCAGTGACTTAGCTGTTGATTGCTCTAATCAAACTGCAAACAACTTCAGAAAAGGAACAGATGGTACTGAGCCAACTGTTTTCAGGGGTGGAAGAGATGGTCACTCTATTAGTCCTGGCTGTACTAGTGCTCTCTGTGCCCACCAGGCTGGCCCCGCACTCACAGAGATCCACCTGCCTCTGCCTCCCAAGTGCTGGGATGTCAGGTGTGCGCCATCATGCTGGGCCAGATCTTTACTTTTAAAACATCATTGTAGATGTTGGATGTAGAATGAAAAGTAGATAATGGAGCGTGCACAGCATATTCCACTCAGGTGAATCAAGAACAAGCAACTGTACCTCACAGACTAAAACCAGGGAAGGTAAGAACACCCTGAAAGTTTAAACACACCCAGGGAAGTGCAGAAAATGTACCTGTTCTTTAAATAGAAAACCGAAGAAGGTCCATTTGTTTTCAATCATCATCTCACACCCTTCCCTTCTCATTAGCAGATCTGCTTTTCCTTTGTTTGCTATTTTTGGGAGGGTGGGGGTTGGGTTGAGAACAGGCCTTGCTATAAATAACCTAGGTCAGCTTCAAACTGGCAAAACTCATGCCTCAGCCTCCCAAGTGCTAAGGTTACAGGTGTGGGCTTCCACGCCCAGCTATGCTTTATAATAGATTCAGTAAGAGTTAATAGCATCAGTTATGCTACCCTGTAACCAGTGGCTTATCAGCTGACTGCTCTAATCAAACTGTAAATAACTTTAGAAAAGGAACAGATGATGTGAAGCCAGTGGCTCTCAGGGGTCGCATATCTGAAATCTTGCATATCAGATATTATGACTCAGAACTGTAGCAAAATTACAGTTGTGAAGTAGCAGGGAAATAACATATGGGGGTCACCTCAACATGAGGAACTGTATTAAATAAAGGGTTGCAGCATTAGGAAGGAACCGTTGTATTAAACACTAATCATCAAGACAACACAACTGCTACTGATAACAGACTGAGTACTGTCTATCACACACTAGTCTGTGACAGACACACTAGTGTCTGCTCCTCAGCATGGCCATGTGCAGTGAATATGCATGTTCTCCACGTTACAGGTCTAGAGAGGGGCAAAATGACAAAGGAGAAGGTCGCACTGCTGATGTGACAGCCTGGCTCTTGCCCACCCGATCAGTCATCCATCACTCTGCGGGACCCCGCAACTGCCTCTTCTCTTTTCAGGATTTCCAGCACACCATCCTTAAGAAGTAGCTCAAGAAATGAGTATTAGTTTACTTGGAACTGCTCAACTTTGCCCGTCTGTTTTTGCCTCAATCGGTACCTTCTTTGGCCCTCCTTTCACCCATGCATCTTCCTCTCCCATAATCTCCTAAGCAGCATGGAGCTGTTTTTAACCTTTTCCTGTTAGGTCTACCAGAATCATCTACCTAGAGGCCAAAGAAGTCAAGGCGATGGCCTTCATGGCTTGAATGCACACTCTCATGTCTCATCATTTCCAAAGTGCCAGTTTTAAACAAGAGTGCATCCAAGTGGGTGGTCTAGCTGCATCAAAGGGAGACTGGCTCTTGAAAGAAAAAGTTTCCTCTTTCCTTTTTTGTGAACGTTTATCCTAACCAGACATCTGTTTTGCTCAGCTGTCCCTTTTCCTACACAGTCCCCCACATAGATTTTCATGTAATTAAAAATACATAAAAATATAAACATTAAACTTCCATGCAGCTGATGACTGAATGGGGTTTATGATCATAAGAAAAAACCAAAAAACTGTTTCTCTAGGTCTCTGAAATCCAGACTTTGGATCAGACACATTGAGTTTTACTCACTAAATAATCTGGAAGTGTTGCTACTTCAAAGAGTGAGTAACTTGAGAGGAAAATTAAAAAAGGGGCAAAAATGGCAGTGTGATTCTATACCAAGAATGAGGACTTGCCATCACACAGGCCTTGAATTCCTTCATTTCCAGTCAGAATTCTGGACTTATAACAGTGAGTTCCACATGTAATTTAACTCAACTTACCTGTTAGGTTTATTAAAAATAAAACCCATCCTGTCAGAGAAATGTATATAAAAGCATACTTAAAAGAACAGATCCTCTGACAACAGCTAAGCCCACAAAGAGATGTGTTCATATGGCAACTGTCAATCTTCTATATGGCCAAGAACCTGAGTGATCGATATATATGATTTGGAGTTAAGCTCACTGATATAAGTGAATGCCACATTAAAATTTTTTAATTCACAAATCTCTGAAACTGATATGTTCTAAGAGCTAATTTAAATTCTGGGAGTTCACAGATTCACGAGATCATTTCGTTAGAAGACATAAAAGTTTACCATTATAACAGGAATGTTACCTGGGGGAGGGCCCCATAATTCCATATATAGCCCTTGTGAGGGAAGATATTTGGTGTAAAGCGTAGCTTTCCATTCTTCTCATCTTGTTTAATGGGATTCAGTGGCTCCTTGGTGGAAATCTAGGCAGATCACAGGGAAGACAGGAAGAGGGGATGAAATGATTAGCCCTGTATACAAAGAAGAGATGTTAAATCTACCATAGCACAACCAAATATTCACATCCAAACTTAATGATCAAAGGTGTTTCAAAGTAAAGAAAGTCAATTGTCATTATTAATTAACAAGTACCATGTAAGAAAAACTATCTGGAAAGAAGATATCTTATTAGAGACTTAGGCTTACATTATTTACACAGCGCATTGTTTCTAACAAAAACAGTAAGATGAATGCAAAGTCAGGAGGGCAAAAGTTAAGACATTTTTGTTGTTGTTGTTGTTGCTATTTGGGGCCTTTTATTGCCAACAGTCTTATGATATTATAGTTAACTCAAAGGTGTTTACCCTGGTGAGGGTTTAGAGCGGTGGCTCCCAACCTGTGGATCAGCCCTCACAATATTTACATTACAATTTATAACTGTAGCTAAATTACAATTATGAAGTAACAACAAAAATATTTTTATGGTTGGGGGGGCACCACAATTGTAATAAAGGGTCTTAGCTTGAGGAAAGTTGAGGACCACTGGTCTAGAAAGATGGCTACAAGGTTAACAGAGCATGCTCTGCAATCATATGAACCAGAGTTCAGACAGCAACACATGTGACAGGTGAGGTAGCTCTGCAAACAAACACCTATGAACCCAGCTCTGAGTGCAGTGGGGACAGGGGCATCATGGGGGCTGGTTGACTCCAGTGTAGATGAGCTATAAGCTCAAGGTTTAGGGAGAGACAGTGTCTCAAAAAGAACAAGTGGAGACTGGAAGTACACCCAATGGCCTCTTCTGGCCTCTGAAGCACCTGCAAACACCCAAGTATACTCACACTGACACACAAAAACAAGACTGAAGGCTTTTCGGATAGATCTGTCACAAGTCAAGGATGCTTGGTCTTGCTACTGATTCAGCACAATAATGTTGGAAGTCTTTTCTTAGAGCAGTTAGGCATCCAAACAAGAAAGGGAGGAATAAAATTGCCACTGTTTACTGATAACACACACACACACACACACACACACACACACACACACCTAAAATTACTAATATAGCAAATTTTCAGGATAAAAAAAATCAACATGCAAAATCCCACAGCATACTACTAATGAACCATTCAAAGCAGAAATCAAGAGATTGTCTTATTTATAGCAAAACAATAAATAGATTGAATGAAGGAAGAGAATGATTTGTTCCTATTGAAAACTGTAGTAGATGATGAAAACAAATCGAAGGAGACACAAAGGGAAGGACATCCAGGGCTGGACTGAAGTAGCACGAATCAGGGTCACTGTGATCCAGAGTGACGTTCCAAAGCCATTTAAGAAGAACAGAAATAGGAAGAACAAATCTCAACGCTTCCATGGAAACACACACACAAGCTAAGGCAAATGAGTAAAAAGAAAAACAAAACAAACAAACAAAAAAAACACCTCACATTATCAAATCCCAACCACACTATAAACCCACAGTACTAAAACCAGATGAAATTTGCAGGAGTTGATTTCTGACACACACAGGTGAAACAGAATACAAGTGGTTTTCAGCAGAGGTGCCAGCAACACAGAATGGGAAAAGAGACCTTTCCTTAAGAAACTATCCTGGGAAGACAACACAGGCATGTGCGGAGGAACAAAGTTGAACCCGTATACCCCAAACATTTTCAAAAACCAGCTGAAAATGGATTCCTGAAATGTGAGGAAGGAACTGTTAAAGGGCTAACAACAACAAAACAGATAAAATGAAAAATTGGTGGAGATAACTCTTTGGATTTGACAACAAAAAACACAGGAAATAGAAGCAAGAACAGGATTATAACAAGTTAAGAAGCTTCTGCACAGCCAGGGAAACAATCAACAGAGTAAACACACAAAATACATCATGGGAGAAAATCTGCTTCAAATAACACTCTGACAGAAGGGTTAAAATCCAAAGCACACAAGGAGAAAAACAGCTAAATAGAAAAACAAAGCAAACAACAACAACAAAAATACAATTAAAAAATGAACAGGGTTTTTTTCTGAAACTGTTGCTCCAACCAAGGGCCATGTACGGATTATAACCTTTGGATGAAGTTCAGACGAAGCTCGTGGTAGCTCAATAACAAATTGGTTTCCCATAGTAAGGGGAACAGGGACTATTTCTGACAGGAACTCAATGGCAGGTTCTTTGACCTCCCCACCCCCCAAGGGAGGAGTAGTCCTGCTAGGCCACAGAGGAGGACTTTGCAGCCAGCCCTGAAGATACCTGATAAAACAGGGCCAGACGAAAGGGGAGGAGGTCCTCCCCAATCAGTGGACTTGGAAAAAGGCAGGGAGAAGCGGAGGGAGGGAGGGTGGGATTGGGAGGGAATAAGGGAGCGGGATACAGCTGGGACACAGAGTTAATAAAATGTAACTAATAATAATAAAAAACAATAAAAAAATGAGCAGGAGACTTAGAAATTTCTCAAAAGAAGACATACAGGTTGTCAACGGGAATAAGAGAGAGAGAGAGAGAGAAAGGTCATTATAGCTACCAGGAATATTCCAGTCACAGCAATGAGGAGGCCAACAAGGTGACTCAGACAGTAAAGGCATTTGATATCAAGACCTGAGTTTGTGTACCAGGCACATCACATGGTTATGGGAGAAAACCAATTCCCAAAAACTGTCTACTCACACACGCACACACACACATGTACACCCACTGAAATGTTTACTAACAATAACAAAATACCACAATGAGGGTTCACCTCATTCTTGTAAGAAAGACTATTATCAGAAAGACTTTAGATACTAAGTGCTGGAAGGATGCAGGAAGGAAAGTCTCACACAGCTGAAGGACTGTAAATTAGTACAGTCATTGTGGATAACAGCATAAAAGTTCTCTAGGAACCTGAGAACAGAACTGACACAGCAAGCAACACCACTCCAGATACAAGGGCAAGGGAAAGGAGGGCAGGATGCTACATGGCACCTCGCCATTCACAAATGCCAAGGGATGGAGACAAGCCCACCAACTAATGGATGGACAAAGAAAATGGGCTCCATGGTTGATCTCCTAGAGCTTGACAGCCAAACAGCGGTAGCAAAGGGCTCCAAAAAGCAGGAGGTGAGAAAGGATGCGGAAACTTGATCCCTGGTGGAGGAGAAAGAGGTTCTGGTACCATCTGCACAGTGAGGGGACAACTGCAAACAAGAAAGCACGTTTCTAAGGGTAGAAGGAACCTGAAGAGTGCTCACTGTGGAAATTATGTCCGCTTACAGAGAGAGGAGCTCAACATGATTCAGATACTATATATCTATTTAAATGTAACATGGCATCATGTTTATCCTTTAAGTCATAGTTCATAACTAAATAGAATTAAAATAATAAATTTAAAATTTAAAAAGCAGAACCAATGGTGATGATGACTGACGAATATAAAAATTTTAGGTAAGACTATTTTGTTGTGTGCTTTGAGGCCTATCCGCAAGGCAGTGAACAGTGTATTTTACATTTCAAAACTGCTGAGAGTAAAAGCTTAAAATGACCTCACCAGAGAAAAAGATTTCAGAGGGTATATTGATTAACTTGAGTTAATTTTTTCTGTTATATTCACATGTCACATTTGTACTCTACAAATATATATTGTTTATTTACAGGAAGTTTTTTTTTTTTAAAATCAAGCTTAGATCTTTGTCAAGTGACTTCATTTTAAAGCTATTTTTTTCTACGAAACATCTTCACATTAGCATCAGAAAAGGGCAAAAACATAAGATATAAAACAGTGAAGTAAAGAAACAAAGCACCACACTTGGGAACTACTCCAAACTGTAAAGGGCCCTCTAACGGAAGAAAGAGAGCAAGCAACGACAAGCAGAAAAGGGATTCCTCTGCCGAGGGTTTGGTTATGAGTTTTAGTGTCTGCTTTGAAACACTGCTAGGTAGAGTCTTTCAGATGCCTTTTGTGGTAGACTCCTGTCATAAGTTCAATGCACATCCCATTTGTCTTTCTAAATGAGGATTAATCACCTTCGCCTGTGTCCACTTTCTTGATTATCTTCTTTAGGTGTGTAGATTTCATTATGTTTATCATGTCTTGTAGGTCTATATAAGCGAGTATATACCAAGTTTGTCTTTCTCCTTCTGGGATACTTCACTCAGAATGATCTTTTCTAGATCCCACCACTTGCCTGCAAATTTCATGATTTCCTCCTTTTTGATTGCTGAGTAGTATTCCATTGTGTAAAAATACCACAATTTCTGTATCCATTCCTCCGTTGATGGACATCTGGGTTGTTTCCAAGTTCTGGCTATTACAAATAAAGCTGCTACGAACATGGTTGAACAAATGTCCTTGTTGTGTACTTGAGCAAATTTTGGGTATATACCTAGGAGTGGTATAGCTGGGTCTTAAGGCAGCACTACTCCTAGTTGTCTGAGAAAGCGCCAGATTGACTTCCAGAGTGGTTGAACCAGTTTACATTCCCACCAGCAATGGAGGAGGGTTCCCTTTTCTCCACAACCTCTCCAGCATGTGCTATCACTTGAGTTTTTCATCTTGGCCATTCTGATGGGTGTAAGGTGAAATCTCAGGGTCGTTTTGATTTGCATTTCCCTAATGGCTAATGCGGTTGAGCATTTCTTTAAGTGTTTCTCTGCCATTCAGGGAATCATATGAAAGAAGGGAAGTTAGTATGATATGGAAAGGATAGGAGCTCTAAAAGGACCAAATATATCTGGGCACAGGGTCTTTTCTGAGACTGACACTCAACCAAGGACCATCTATGGATATAACCTAGAACTTCTGCTCGGATGTGGCCTGTGGTAGCTCAGTAACCAAGTAGTTTTCCAAAGTAAGGGGAACACGGACTATTTCTAACAGGATCTCAAGGGCAGGCTGTTTGACCCCCCCCCCCAGGGGAGGAGCAGTCTGTTAGGCCACAGAGGAGGACTTTGCAGCCAGCCCTGAAGATACCTGATAAAACAGGGTCAGATGAAAGGGGAGGAGGTCCTCCCCTATCAGGGGACTTGGAAAGGGGCAGGGAGGAGACCAGGGAGGGAGTGTGGGGTTGGGGAGGGAATGAGGGAGCGGGATACAGCTGGGACACAGAGTTAACAAAATGTAACTAAAAAGAAAAAAAAAAAAAAAGAACACAGTTTTGAAACAAAAAAAAAAAAGGAAGGGAGGAGGGAAGGGTTTATGGGGGGATGCAAAGTGAATAAAGTGTAATTAATAAAAGTTAAAAAAAGAAAGATAATTTTTAAGTGTAAAGTTTAAACCATGTCTAAGTGTATAAAAGTACAGATCTCTGATCCTTTTCTAATCTAATGTTTTATTCATTTTATTTTTTTCATTAGAGTAAGAATAAAATAATTTTGTGCTGATAAAAAAAAAAAAAAGAAAAGGGATTCCTGACAGCTTCGTGTTTCATGGAAAAGATTACAATAAAGTTTTTAAAAAGACTTAAAAAGGGCAAAAGTTGGTGCTCTTGGGTAAGATCTGCAGATTCCAGAGAGGGCGCTGTTCCCAGGCAACGTAAAACTCTAAAGGATAGAGTTCCCAGAAACAGAAATTGCCATCAGTGCCCAACAAAACACTCCATCTGTGCCTATGGACTAAATACAGAGCAGTCTGTATAAAACTTGAAAGTGTTCCCATCATGTCAAGAGAAGGGCAAGGAAAATCACATAAACGCATGCCTGAAAGAAAATGGAGGAACACTCTCTAAAGTGAACATTTAGTTCAAACCATTTTGTTTTTGAAATTAAGGTCTAAGTTCACAAGAATATTCTAAATTATCTCCTACATAGAGAAGTCTGTCATCCATCCTCCAAACTTGACCAACAGCTATGTTTAAGTTAGCATTTCAATGTTCGTATCTGTACCTCCATTTTGGCATTTGTCCATCGAGGTATTTCCACAACCATATTGACCAAATTCTGCAATTTCAAAAACAACAAACAAACAAAAACAGAAAACAAAACAAAAAACATTAACATTTTTATTCACTCTCCCCCCTTTTTTCACTTGGCATTGGGGGACTGTGTGATACATGAAAATCAGTATAGCCTTCTAATGAAAGAAGAGTGCAAGTTTCCACCCCACACATAAAATGTTTAGTGCCTGTCTTCCACATCCACCCATGCATGCTGGAAGTCCTTTCTTGCAGTTAGAGAGGCTGCCCAACTCGCCGCATACCACACAGCTGACCACCACTGCATAGCATCAAAGATCACCAAACACGAGAAAGCTCTTTTCAAGGCAGTGACAATTCTGGGAACCAGAACATGTGCTCTGCTTTAGTTGTTGGCTTTGAGGTAGTCTTACCATGTAACTCCAGCTAGCCTAGAACTTGCTATCCAGACCGGGCTGGCCTTAAACTGAGAGACCTACCTGCCTCTGCAAGCTGCGCACTAGGATTAAAGGTGTGCACCACCACACCTGGCAGGAAATCAGTTTTGATATTTATTTTCCAACTAAAATAAAATGGCAGACCACCTCTCTCTGCTCCAATCACAGCAATGTGGCTAAAATATCATTATATAATTTAAAGGAATACACACCAAGATTCAAATAGTTTATAATGCAAACTATCACAAAGCCCATTAACAGGCAGTATAAAGTGAATCAAGAGGCTGGGGGGAATGGCTCTAAGGTCAAAAGGGCTTGCTATTCTTCCAGAGGACCCAAGCTGGGTTCCCAGCATCCAAGTCAGGTGGCTCACAACCATCTGCAATGACAGCTGAACGGGAGCTGGCACCCTCTCCTGGCCTCCACAAGTACCTACCTATCCACATGCATGCACACGCACGCGCGCGCGCGCGTGCACACACACACACACACACACACACACACAACATATACACAAAATAAACTTTTAAATGACTGAAACAATAAAAACCTTAAAATATACCTTATATTCATCATTTCGTGACTTTTTTCTGGGAATGCCGTTTTCCTGCAAGAGCAAAGATGGCAATTATGACTGGACTGCTTCATAAAGGAACGCAGGATGCACAGCACAGCTGCGAAAACACCCCTATTGCATATAAGTTCTACTAGCTGCCCAGAAATTGGATTCAACAGAGAACCTATCAGAGATACCTGGGCAGTCTCCCTCAGCAATCCCCATCCTCAAATGAACAGAGTGCCAAACTGTTAAAAGTAAAGGACTAGGAAGTCCAGTACTCTTTCACCTGACTTCCCAAGTCGGCCTGAAGCAAGCAAAGGCTCTCTGCCGAGTTTAAGGAGACTGGCAGGTTCCGGCAGCTGCTCTGCAAACAGTCCTTTCATTACTGAAATGAAGCTCCTGGGAGCTGGAGTAACAAGCTGTGAAAGCGCTTGGCTGTACCTCCTGCCTGTGAATTCTGCCCAGGTGTGATTACTACGCCTCCACTAAGCATTTTTAAATTAAGCCAGACTTCACAGTGGGGTGGGAAGAAAGATTACACCTTTCACAAATGTTCACAGGGTCTGTGGCCTACACGCCCGAAGGAAGGCTTACACTACAAAGGAGGGAACAGAATAAAACAGAAAATGATTCCACGTCACGTTGCCCTGAAACATTATTCTTGTTCTGAAAACTCAACATCCCACACACTACAAAGTACAGAAATCATGACTGGCTCAAAAGTAGGGAAACCTGCTAGCATTTTAAATGCTGTGTGTATTTATTTGCTCTCTACACCTCTAAAACTCACTGGCCTTTTGCCTTATAATCTGTCCTGCCTTATCCTCAGATTCTATACAGAATGTTACACCCACAGATTGTGCCTGCCTTTGTTCCACATCCACCCCTACCCACATTTGTGTCCAAGGGCAACAGCAAGTTAATGACAGTAGCTGCCATCAGAATTACAATAACACATGGCATGTACTGAGCACTTGCCTAAATGTCCCAAAACATCAGGCCTTCTCAGCTCTCCCTTCAGTGGTTCTGATAATCCTACCTCATCAACATCCTTCCAACTATCAAGTGGTTTTTAAGAGAAAAGCTAATGAGACACTAGGTTTTCCCAGCCTCACATCTCTGTTTCAGAGCGTAAGGGGCAGGAACTCCGTGGTCAGAAAGGCCAGTTCCATACTTTGGTCCTGACACTTGCCAGCTGTGGGCTGTTACCCAAACCAATGAGACGCCTGCTGCATTACGGAGCTTGGACATAGTAATGGCAACTTACTATGGGTTAGAGGAAATAACTCGTTCGCACAGTGGCTAGCATTCCCGCCGAAGTTCAAACTCCACAGACCACAAATACCTCCTTTTTCCCAGCTTCACACAGATTTTAAGTCAGAAAGGAGGCTTACAGCACTGTTCCAGCTCCTTGGTCTCTGCCAACCACATCTTTACTTTCAAGGCTTTCTACAAAAGCATTTTCAGGCAATAGTGAAGTATCAGTTTTATACTATCATATACAAGTCGTCGTTCATCCCCCAAACAAGTAAACATACTACCTCTGTACAGTCCACCTTCAGAGGAATATCATGGAAGGCGGAAATGTAGTGACCAGCTACATTCTCTGCAAAGGAAAAAGCAACAGGATTACAGCCATGCACACGCTGCTCTTTATAGCGAGAAGGCCCAGATATGCTTTGGAACTTGTACGCTTTGCAAGGCTAACTTTACACCTTTTTAAACTTTAATTCGACTTTCAAAACTTGTTGCAGCCTGATGAGAATGTATATGCCAGCTAACCCATACTCAGTTGCTGAAATCATTTAATTCAATATTGTGTTTGGCTTCCAACGCCCGCTGCACAAAATATCTAAGGGAGACTAATGCTCCATGTAGGAAAAAATATTGACTTTTGAAAAGAGACTCATTACTAAGTGAATTAGACTAAACTGCCATCCATTTCCATAGGAGAAAACTAACAGTATAATTCACAGTTTCCACTTATAATTCATAGGAAGGTCTAGCCAGAACTGGTAAGATGCTGGTTCAAAAGGCCAAAATAAATGATTAATAAAATTATTGGAAAATAGCTGACTAAACAACAAACAAATACTAAGTCCCAAGTTAAGCTCAATAAAAACAGAGGTTAAAAATGTAACAATGGTGGTGCTATCTCACTAAAATTTTACGCCCTTCTCCCCAGGCCATGAGCAGTCAGCACTAGGACTGAGAGTTCTTGTTGGCTCTTGGTTTTGTCTGTTTTGTTATACTTTCTATTGAATTCCAGGCATGGAAAGGTAGCTAGCACCTACCTGGCATTCAGCAGTTATCAAATAAATGACTCACTACTGTCGCATTTCCTCTCTTCCAGGCTATTAGTTTCCTTTCCCTACCCTGGCAGCCAGGTAACTCCAGCAAGACATGTGGCATGCTGTGGGTAAGGCTGAGAAAGGGCACAATGGGAATGAGAATATTTAAATACATGTTTGGTTTTCCATTATTTTTATGATACTGGGTATATTGCTTGCATGTATGTAATCCATATGAATGCCTAGTGTCTGTGGGATTCAGAAGAGGGCATCATATTCCCTGGAACTGGAGTTATCGTGAACTAAACCTGTGTCCTCTGAAAGAGCAACAAGTGCTTTTAACCAAGCAGCCATCCCTCTGGTCCCCATTAATGTTTAAATATTCAAATTCTCAGGTTTCTGATTTTTTGTTTTGTTTTGTTTTTCCTATCTACTAGCTTTCCTTACATTAATTCATTTGGTAATTATTTGTAGAACACATTTGCTTTTCCAAACACGATTCTATGTGCTAGGAATACAAATTCTAATTTCCTGTTCTTAAGCACATTATATTTAACTGGGAGACAGAAGTGATGAATATGTACAAACTACAGTGGGAATGTTCAGCATCATAAAAGAAAACAAATCAGGGTAAGTAAAGAGTGAACAGTGGTGGCTTTGGACACACAGGCAGCATGTTCCCAGCAGCCTCACGGAAGTAAGAGGGTCCAACAGACATGGAGGAAGGTGTGAAGGAGAGGGCATCACAGAAGCTGAGAAACACCAAGGGGGCCGGCCAGCCAGGAATGGAATGCAACAATCAAAGGCAAAGGCAAAGGGCAAAAGAAAAAAAAAAAAGGTGTTGAACTCAGGGGCAATGTGTAGCATCAGAGCATAAAGAACCCAACTTAGTTCTTCAAATTTCTTTTGCATAAAATAGAATGAACACTGGTTTTGGACAGATCTTCTGCATTTTAAAAGGGACAATGTGTCTTTGGTACGTAAAGAAGACCAAAGGGAAAGAATCAGGAGTGTTTTGCAATTGGTCAACTAAAGATGATGATGACATAGATGTGGCAAAGATGGAAATGGAAAGAGAAAGATGTCTTTATTTCAAAAGTTGAGCTGGATATGTCCCAAAAGGCTATGATGCCAATGACTCAGATGTGGGAAAAAGATAAGGGATAGGCATGTTTATAGGGGAAGGAGAGTGAAGAGGTTGGCTGAAGGCACACCATAGCAGTTACACCAGTCTCCACAGAACGCTACTGACCACAGCTAATAAAGTGGATTGCACACTTTTCAACCGCCAGACAATGTTCCAATGTTCTCACCACAAAGAAACAATTGATATTGGAGGTAATGAACACACTAATTTCATTTACTTGATCAAAAGATGGAAACATGTTGGGCAGAGGTAGGTGATTTGTTTCACGTGTGGGAACTGTAATATGCTGTGCAGTGAAGCAGAAATACAGACTGATTTACGAATTTACTGGCCATGTAAATTCTGACTCCAAGATATGAGACTAACAGTGTAAGCCTAGAACTTATGGACGACCCCCAATATGAAGGCGCACAGTGGGTCCATGCACATATGGGAAGCTACAGCTAAGCTTAATTAAGTACTAAAAAGAAAAAAGACAATGAAAAGAATGCAGCTGGGAAAGATGTGGGGTGAGTTGGAAAAGGAGAGTGAGAATAGATGTGAGATTTTATTATATACAGCTGTAAGATTCTCAAAGTAAAAAAAAAAATGTCTAATTTCTTAAAATCAAAAGAAAAACAGAAGTGATTTGGTATGTACTGCCCACGAGACACCGACCACCTTTATATATATATATATATATATATATATATCACTATGTATATAAAGGGCCAAGGTAATTCTCTGATTACTGCTATCCCCACACTAGAAACTGAGCTAAAAGATGTCAGCCAAAGATATCATGCCACATTTAGCTCAGTCACGTGACTTGTCTTAGACAGTAAAGCCAGAACTAAAGCTCAAATGCCTTCCTTGCTGGCCTGCATCTGTCACCATCGCACAGGGTCCTCTAGAAGCTGCAGGAATCCCCGATATGCTACTTCTCAAATTGAGTTCCAGGAAACTCCAGAGCCACTAGGACAATGGTTCTCGGCCTTCCTAATGCAGCAACCCTTTAATACAGCTGTTCATGTTGTAGTGAACCCCAACCATAAAATTATTTTCATTGCTTCTTCATAACTATAATTTTGCTATTGTTATGAATCAAAATGTAAGTATCTGGTATGCAGCATATATGATATGAAACCATGATGAAAGGTTCAGTCAAATGTCTACAGGGGTCGTGACCCCAAGGTCGAGAACCACTGCAGTAGGCTGTTAACAATGTTCTAAGAAGCCCAATGGTTCAAAAGTTTGGGACATGTTACCTTACATCAGAATTTTTCAAAACTTTACTATATATGTTATTATTCTCCAATAATATGGCAATAAAATGAAATGATTTAGTTAAGTCACTAAACCCTATGTTTGAAAGCGCAACTAATGTCTGATGGATGCTTGTGTTTGAGTAAGCATAGTTTGGGAAACGGTTATTGGGTCCAAGCCTCTCATTCCACGATTTAGAAAACAACATCCAGGAACGTGAAGGGAAGTGACAAAAGTTCAGCAAGTCACTCAGGAAGGTGACAGAGCAGACGGGAGGCAGGAAGTCCCCATGCGCTTGCTCTTGCATCACCCAGTTTCGTGTCTCTATATTTCTACAAAGTTCGACACCAATATTAAAAAAGCATTCCATCAGCCAGCCATTACTGTTACCATGAAGGAGGTAAAGAAAACTTACTGAAGCTCAAAAATGCTTTTATCTCCAAGTGTACTGATATCTCAGAGACCCGAGATGTTTGAAATATGCGCAATGTTCCCTCTGTAATAACGCTGAACAACAATTCCAGCCTGTAAATCTTGCTTTTCTTATGCTGAAACAACTCGAACAACTTGAACTGCTTATGGGCACCCAGCACCGCATCATACAGGTTGCAGCCATCTTTTTTTGATATTACAATGAGTTTACAAATGTAAGCAGTAGTTAGCATTTCTGTCTCGTGTTACCACCCCTTCAAATTCTCCTTCAGTTACTGTGACTGTCTGGATAAAAAGCATTATGTCCTTTCTATCTCCTTCTCCAACTCACCCTCAAGTACATTGCTATCACTTCATCCACCCCTTTCGGCAAGAACAGTCCTGGGCCATCGATGCCCTCTGGTGGTAGGTACAGGAACTGTCTACGTCCCCTTTCCATAAGAATTATGCCATTTGAACCCTTCCCCCAGAGAGCACCCACTTTTATTTGGATTCTTGTCATTTACCTCAGTAAAACATTTTCTGTTTTTCCCTTCTGTTCTGCCCTATTCAATAAACTCACTGAAAATAAATTTTACTGATGGCATCCTAGTTCCAGAATATTCTTAAGTACATTTGATACTAAAAATGAACAACAAATGACTGTATAGCCTCAGAGATGCTGCCACAGACCTGGTCCAACACAGATTAATTGAATTTCTATTATTCATGCATCCAGTTCTTGCAGGACAGCTGTCTGTAAGACAGAACTGCCTCCGGAAGAACATTGCCACCACCTGCCCAGCAACACACAGCAGGAGAACTGAAGTTGAGATCCAGGCCTCCCCACTCCAAATCCAGTGCTTGGCCCAACTGTGCTGGAGGTTCCACGCTCTTGAACAGGTTTTCTCTGTGTTTTTACAATCTTCATAATCAGTTATATTATTTTGAGAGCAGGGTATGTGTGCCTGCACACACACACACACACACACACACACACACACACACACACACACGTAAAAAAAAAAATCCTATCAGAAAAACCAGGCCTAAGAACTTACCAAACACAGGAGATAAAGGAAAAGATACAACATCCTCACCTGAACAACATAAAGAAAAACATGTTCTCAGAAACTGTGGGGAGCCCCACACTGGGAATCATATATTACTCCCTTTCCTCTTTGGGGTTTCTAGTCATTAATAAAAGAACTTAGAAACAAACTTGAAAGAAAAGTGTGACGGCAATTCTATTAAAATTCAAGAGAAAATTCATCAGAGGTTGCAGGCTGTGAATCAAGGCAGCTACCTGGAAGAAGACTTGGAAACCATAGCTTGTAAGCAGCCAAAGGTGAAAGGCGGACGGGTAGCTTCAGAGAAAGAATGAGAAAGGGAAAGTCATGTTTAAGCTTTGGGGAAAAAAAGTTATGTTTTCTAAGTAACTCAGAAAAGTGGGTGAGCTCAGCAGTGCTACAAGATGAGAGCTCTGCAGAGCATCTATGCTGAGGGTGGTGT